CCCTTCTCCCTTCTCCCTTCTCCCTTCTCCCTTCTCCCTTCCCTTCCCTTCTTTCCCCCTGCAGCAGCGGGACACCCATCTGATGAAGCCATGGGTCTTTCCCTTCTGGCAAGCACAGCAGCAGTCATGTAGTGCCGGAGTGCACAGCAACTCGGTACCTGTGCGTATTGGGGTCTTCTGTCTGTCTCCATATATGTCAATTCCCATAGGGAATCCCAGTAGGGATTGCACGTGTAAGTTACGTAACATGGCACACTGCAAATGTCCCGAGAGACAAACGGTGTTTAGGAAGTAGTATTTTGGTGCATGTTTACGTACACACATATTCTTTTATGGCAAAGATTGCTTTGAAACTTTCTGAATGGGCTCTCTTTTGCATATGAGCTTGGCCTTTGTACTTCTGAACCACAGAAAGGGCATGTGTAATTTTTATGGAGAAGAATGTTGGCGTGGTTTTGCAAAACCCCTTTTTGACTGATGCGGGTGAAGGTGTTAGCTTTTTGAGTCAGACCATGTTCTTCCAAGAGGTAAAGGCCAAAGGAGATCTTGTTGTGTTTGCAAGTTAAAGAAAAGCTCTGACATCTGGATGCTTTCTGTATTTTTCAATTTCATACTGCTGTTAAGCCAGCCAGACTTTAAGAGGGTATGTTGCTTTGATCTTCTGATGTAGCTGTCTTTAAAACATTTTAATCACAAACGAATTAAGAAAATGTTCCAAGTGACAGCAGTTTTGTCATTCTTCTCTATTTGCACTGAAACCCATGCTGCACATTTAGGTTATTCATCTCTCTTCAGTTCTGGGTAGAAAAGTTAAGTTTTAAAGAAAACCCCTTTATTTCATGGGATCAACTTTCATATGCTGGTCACTTATATCACTCTTTTCCTCCTGGGCTGCGGTTTGTGATCCATCTTGTCCAGTTTGCTTCATGTGTTTGTCTTGCACTTGCTAGCCCAGCCAGCTCTCCCTTCTTCAGGGCAGCGTCTCCAGCCCACCCAGGTGTGGAGATGATGCCGCTCCACGCAGGCAGTGCTCTGCTGGTTGGCTCTGACCTTCTTATTGCACTCGTGTTGGCACGGGAAGGTCTCTGCGGGTTGTGGGGGCCAGCAAGCTGGGCTTGGGGCCACAGCAAAGAGGGTCAGCCGCAGCCTGGGCTGCCCAAAAATCAAGGAAAGTGATTGTCCCCCTCTGCTCAGTGCTCGTTAGACCTCATCAAGGTACTGCGTTCCCTTTTGGGTCTGCCAGGACAAGAAGGACATGGATCAGCCAGGGCAAGTTCAGGGGAGGCCCCAGGATGGTCAGGGCTGAGGAACACCCTGGGGAGCAGGGCTTGCACCGCTGGCCGCTTGCACCCACTCATGGGGAGGTGACTGAGACCAGGCAGCCTGGCTCTTCACAGGGTTACACGTCGGGGGGGCACGAGACAACATGCATAAGTGGAAACAAGAGCCTCAGAGTTGGACATCAGGAAAAACTTTCCTCCCTGGGGCAGGCTGCCAGGGCAGGCTGTGCAGGCTCCATCCTGGGAGGTGTCAAGCCCCAACTGGACACAGCCCTGAGCAGCCTGGTCTGGCCTGGGGCTGACCCTGTCCTGAGCAGGAGACCATGCTAGAGACCTCGCGAGGTCCCATCCAACCTGAATTATCCTGTGTTCCTATGATTTATGTCTTCATTTGCCTCAGGTCTGCCCATTTACTTTCTCCCATATACAAGTTACTTTTTTCCTCTCACCTTTTCCATTTCCCATTAGCCTTATTTAATCAGCAGACTAATGTATTACTCTGTTGAAGTTTTATGTGAAACCCACTGGCAGCTGGAAGCTGTGTTGCAGCAAAAGAGCAGTGCAGGGAAGCAACAAGGGGCCAAATGGTACAGCAAGGTTTTCACCAAGAGAGGAGTAAGGAGGGACCTATAGGGCAGCAGGGATTTTGGGAGCAATCCCGATGGGAAGTGAGTGTAGGTCCCTCCCCAGACATATCTCAGCTGAGTCAGGAGAGCTCCTGCTGTGTATCTGGGATAGTCAGGACCATTGATCACTGCAAGGAAAGACTGGAGACTGGGGAACATGAGGAAAAACAAAGCTTCCGAAACTCTGAATAAAGTGAGATGTGAACTGAAGCTATTGGCTTCAAAGTACCAAATTCTTCTCATATATGTATGATTTAAATAATGAATAAAATTTTATTTATTTATGTATTTATTTTCCTCTGGCAAAAAGCAGAGGGCAGGAAACTCATAAGCCAAGTATTTACTTAATCATGTTGTCTCGACGGATAAACTGAAAAATTAATTTAGAGTTGTTAATTTATTATTTTATCCCATTTTGAAACTATATTTGTCTTTCCTTTTGCCTGTGTATCTTAATGATATTCGGCAAACATTTTAAGCTTATAGATGAAATCCTGAAACCTTGAAGAAATGATAATTTTGATGTTGGCTTCTCTGGAGTCTTTTTCTACTCTGTAACAGTAGGAGGGATCCTGGTTTGACTTTGATCAGTGCTGTGTTACAGAAATAGACTAATAAGTATTGGAAGTCTAAATTCTTAGTGGAATGGCTTCATCAGAACAGTAATAAGTAAGTCTTGCTGTCTTTGTTGTAGAGGATTTCACCCCAGTTCCATATAAGGCTTTACCACCTCCAAAAGCAGAAAAAACGTTTCCTCCTTATACTGGATTTGGTTCCGAAGAGGATTCTCTATGCTCCTGTATGGGTCTGCTTCTCAAGCCTCCCCAAAAAGATTTCAAGAAATTCATGGAGAAAGACAGGTATTTCAGTGAAAAATAATTCCAACCTTTTTCATTATGTCTTTTTGTGAAGGAGATATGTGAAGTAGAGATGTCATTTTTTTCAGCAAAATATGCAGCTCATCAGACTTCTAAGGGACAGGTGCATGAGCACTGGTTTACTGACATGGTACTCCAATTTTCTCTGAACTCAGCAAAATCTCTCTTTTAAGAATGCAAATATTGTGACCCTCCTATCCCCTACCTCCTTCCCTTCTCCTGTCTTCAGTGAGAGTTTGATGGAAGTCTTAGTCCAGGACTTAGTCAGGAATTTTGTAGGCTTCAGCAGTCCAACACTGATTTTTTTTTTTTTTTTTTTTTACTTTCTGGCATTTACTTTTATTGTCCACTGAATTTCATGCAGTTTACTGTAGCAATATTAAAGCATTAACCCTTTACTTACCATTATGAAATGGTTTGTCAGGCAGTGGTTGTTGAAGCCTAAACAGAAAGCAAAGACACACGGTAGAGATTCACTTGCAGAACCTCTGTAAAAGAAGAAAGCTATTAGAAAAAGGCTTGGGAACATATTGATAGTGCATATAGTGGTACTGTAAATCATTTAAAACACAATCACTTAACAAATATCCAACTAGTAAGATCATCTGGTGGTCCTGGTTTTGTGGAGATAATCCTAGCATGTATTGCTATTCAGAATTTGATTTGAAAATATACATACCTAAATGTGTTCTTCCTTTGTAAATTTTCTGGAAGGAAACTTGGAGCTTGATTTGCAACTGAATTTGAATACAAATTCATTCCAGACCGGTAGCAGAGAAGTAATTTTCCCCTGAAAATTATTCCTTTCTATCTGGCTAACTCTAGCTGGTTCTGTTAATTTAAGCTGAAAATGGTTTTTGACAAAGTAGGGAATCTTATCCTATTTCCCTTCTTGGTCCAGGAATAACACAATTAATGTATGTTGTAAAACTCAGGAGAATGCATCTTCTAGTGATAAAAACTTTTCTCATACTCTGTTTTTGATTTCTTACCTCTCCTTTTGCTTTTTAGAAGTGGCATGGAAAGTAACATACTGCGCTTTCTTGCAAAACTCGTCACAGATAGTCCTGTTGACAAAGATCGGAAATTCATTATTTCCTACTTCCTGAGTGATGACACTATTTCAGTTTTTGAACATATACAGCAAAACACAGGTAAGACGTAGTAATGTCTTGCAATCCGTCCCAGTTGCCCTGCTCATTTGATTAGAGTTTACAGTAAACATTGTGGCCAGAGTCAGCAGTAGCAGAAGCAGGGATGTGGATTTTTAATGGCAATGGGAATTACATCAGCAGGTCTACTGCATTATCTTGCATAGCTGTATGTCATAGTAATTTATAATTTTCATCACTCGGGATAATGCTGTTCATTGTATGACAGTACTTCACAATATCCTTTGGGAACTGGAAGTTTAATGCATTAGAACTTTTATTACATTTTCATTTGCAAATTTGGCCTTTAAACATTTGCTTTTGTTGTGGATAACATAAAAGAATTCTGTTGTAACTGGTGATGAATAGGTACATTAGGAATGAAAGAGTAAATCCTTTGTTTTGCAAGATTGTGTTATGGTGTTATGAAACCTATGTAGCATCCATTGTATAGAAGCAGCTCATGAAAGCAAAACAGCTGTGATATTTTTTAACATACTTTATAGTTAATCATGTAGTGTTGAGCATATAAAGAGTGAAGATTGCCCTGTTCTAGTGTCTCTGTGTGTGTGTGTGTAATACTGAACTGAATTGCAAGAGCCGGACTACCAGTGTTGAAGTGACAAATGCTTTCTTACTTCTCAGTTGCTTGATCACATTTATCCTATTGCTGGAGCATGGTCACTCAATGTTGTCATGGTTAAATTCTTGTGACCACTGTTGTCTGTTGTAGGCTGCCTCCAACTGAGGATATGAAAGGTTTTGTGATTTTCAAGCATCTTTTTATTTCCTTGGAGTGTCTTGTGCACACATGGAAGGACACAGCATTGGGGAAGATGTCAGGAAGCCATCTGTAACTCAGAGAGATGGGGAAGCCTTGGCTAAGCATGACCCTGTTGGAGAGATTAGCGTATTTCTGTGAAGCCCACAAAACATCTGCAGCAACAGTTTAAAAGCAGTTAACATCCAGAAGTGCTCTGGCACCTCTCAACAGATGCAGTTGAAGGACTGACTCTTAAAAGCCGCTGTCAGCTTCTGATAAAACTATGGAGAGAAAAAAAATCAGGAAATCACATTCTCTCAAAGACAAGGGAAAAAGAGTAATAGAAGGTTTCCTTAGTTACCATGTTAGGCTCTTGTGGAATCTTGTGAGTAGCTCGTTTGATACTGCTTGAATTGCCCTATATCAGCCTCTTGGCACAGAGCACCTTAGCATGGTATTTCAGGTACACTCTGCAATGGTGACCAGCTCACTGTGCTCAGTGCTGACCTATCTGGTACTCTGAGCTCACTGTCTAGAGCAAAGAGTGTCCTAGGGAGGATTGTTCACTCCCCTTTGCTTCAGGATCTGGTGCCAGCAGTTGACTTGCTGAGGTCCAGTGATTCAGCTTACAGTTAAGGACTAAGTATTCTTGTGACCCTATGCTTAAGCCTTTACTGAAAATAATTTCTGATGTTAATCCTTTTCAGACCTATGCTGAACAGCACATCTATAAAAAATGAAGGTGTGGTGAATATCTAGACCCTTCTATATTCCTAGAGAACTCTTTCTGTGCCAGTGGTGCTACTAAGTCATTTTGAGTACCTTGCACATGAGTAGGTTTTTGGGAAGGCCTGAGCATTTTCAATGCAAAGAACTTCTAATAGCATCTCTGCTGGTATCCAACTATATTATGAATGCATAAATAGGGACCTCACCCCCAACTAAAATACAAGCAATTCTCTGAGAAATGTTTTGAAAATGTGTAGAGTACCTGCCTAGGCTTCAATGAGCATTCCCAGGTAGCCCTGCTCCACTGCAGCATCAACATTTTGCACTGCTTACGGCAGCAGTGTCCCGTCATCATTATTTTACTAGTTTCCTGCCATCCGGTGGCCTGTAATTTATGCAACTTCTTTTATTGCATGTATATATTTATTATGTAATGCTGCTGTGAGGCTCAAGAGCAGCTCAGTTCTCCGCTAGTGAATGACATGTTTGATTTGCATTCTTTATGTCTGGAGACAGGAGGGGTGCTAAGGGTGCAGCTGCACTTAAATTAAAGAAGTCTGGAGAACAGCTCGAATCTTGGACCCCAATCATATGTATTGCCTATTCGGTCAGCCCTGGTTTTCCTTTGCACCCTTCCAACTAGACAAGGTCCCAGAGAGTCTGCGGCCCCTCCTGGAGGATGCTTAACTCCAGAAAACTCTCCTGCAAGGCAGTAAGGACAAGGCTGCACCAGGTTGGGCTTGCTCCACCCTTATCAGTCATCTTACACTATCCCAGGAGGTTTTGCACACTCAAAAATTCAGGTTCTTCTGCCACACCCAGGGGCTGCAATGCATACCCTCAGTTTTATGCTGTGAAACACCACTCTGTTGGACTGCAGCACAGCACTCACATACCTTCAAACAGTTTGAGTGCACAAAAATAATAGTTGTGTCTTAAGACCCCAGATTTATCACATAGCACCCAGAGCAGAGCCAGAGCCACACACCATGCTGTGCAGATGTGGTCAGTTGGTCAGTCTCTCAACAGCATGGATGCCAGGCCAGAGGTTCCTTCTGGGCTGCCTTTTATTTTGGAATGAGGATATATGCTGGGATTGGAGCTGGGAGCCCATTGAACATTGCTTGTCGAACAAAAAGTGAAACAATAAATGGGCAAGTTTGCATACCAACAATAACAAATGCTTTAAGACACATATGAAGGGCAAGTATCTGTAAATGGGTTTTTAACTTCACTGGGATGTTAAAGTGGATGGAGTAGCTGACTTTCAGAGGTGGTAGAAAGGTGGAGTGGAAGGATGGGGCTAAGAACTGGCCATTGGAGAGTTTAGTGAGAGCAGCCTTGAAGAGGCAGGATAAGAAGTAGGGATGGGGAGGAGGTAGAGCAGCAGTTGGAAAGAGGCCTGGGACTGCAGAAATTTCTTTGTTCCCACCTTCCTTCTTTTCTTTCTTCTTCCTTTCTCTTCTCTCTCTCCCCCTCTCCCTCATTGTAGTCATGTCCGAAGGAAAAGTGAACAGGTTCCTTCGAGGTTAAGAATGAGAAGGCTTTGCAGAGGTCAGATAAGAGCGTCTAGGAAAAAGGAGAAAGGCATGTGAAACAGGAGCAAGAACATTTGTGTGTGAGAAGGAAAAGAGTTGAGTGGATGGGATGGGAGAAGAGTAATTTTGGGCACATCTTAGAGAGGGAATGAGTTAAAATAGTAAATTACTCCCAAAATAACATCTTGACTATCCCTTTTGTGCACAGGTTCAAAGGGCTATGTTTGCCTTTTTATTTGCATGAATTGATACAAATTGGCAGGTAAAAACGTTTCAAATCCCAGCCCTAAGATGGAAGTAATAAGTTGCTCTTACTTTTCTCAGTCCAGCAACCTGAAGGTTGCAGAGAAGTACTTCACGCTATTGGTAACACTGTGAAACTGTATTTGAAATGCACAGGGCTGGACATCTTGAAGCACTTGTTGAGATGGGGGTCAGAGCATGACAACTTTGGTTCCCCATGTAGAAGATCACAACCCCTTTTTTACTCAGTGTAAGACCAAGCCAACAGCTGTACAAACACCTGCAAAGTCTGATCTGATCTTAATGGAAGAGGGTCTTTGAATGTGGTATTTATTTTGTGCTTTGAGCCTGGCTCTTGCAGATTTCCATCAAAATTTCTCATCAGGTTTCAGTGTAAAATCTCTAACCTAATGAGATATTTTCGGTTGTTTCCCTTTATACCTCTTGAAATGTACTAAGCCGTAATGTTTAAAAAACAGTTATGGGACAGAGGTAGTAAGGTAAGTTTCCAATCTAAGTGAACAATTACAGGGAAATAGAGAGACAAGAGTGAAGTTCCAATCTTACAGAGACCAGTTCTGTTTAAATATTAGAAACAGTTGCCAGGATTATATAACCTAAAATTTCATATTTGTTTTAATAGCTAGGTGAAAAAGAATGTGTTAAGATTAGAGTTACATTAATGATTTGAATTGTTTTTTGATTACGCTAGATCTGACCATTACCATAGTGTATTTTTTGTCTTTTGCTTTTGTGGTGCTAGCAAAGCAATTAAGACAGATATCTGATCCAAACTCTGATTTCATAACTAGTTTGGGTTTCACATTCATATATAATTTTGACTATAAATGGCACTTTATTACAGTGTTCATCAGCCTTTTATTGGACTTGCATCACTACCTAATATGTAAGATATCATTAAACGTTACTAAAGTGTGCTTTTTGGCTTTTGGCTTGGAAGCTCAAATATAAACAGGAAACGAACCCCAGGCACTCCAGAGTTGGTGTAGGGCACATATCCTGATTAAACTAAACATGTGACAGAATGTTTTCTAGAAAGCTGGGTACATGCGATGCAATCTTGTGGTGCACCAGAAGATAGTACTGGAAAGCGAAATGTTCCTTTTAGTATCTTAGATGCTCTTGAGCACTGCATGCAGATTCCAGTGGCACAAATAAAATCATTATAATGTGAAAAGAAATAATATGACATACCAAGCTCTCAAAGGAAATAACAGATTGCAATTAAATTGCATTGGCAGAACGGTATGTGGAAGATAGTGTCATGTCACTCCTACTTTTTTTTTTTACATTCAAAAGCCCTAAAAAACAAGTTAGAATTACAGTGCACCAGAATTCATGATCTTCATAAAACCGTGCTGTGCTAAGTTGTGAATTGTTTTTTTTCTTTTTTGCTTTAACAGTTCAAGGATAATTGCCTGCATCTTACATTTTGCATCTTACGGTTCTCAAGGGTCAGTCCCAAGGCTGGCGACAGGGTTATGGGAACGATTTGAAGAGGCACATTTCTGTCCCATTTTAAAGAAAAGGAAAAAAAGGAAGGTGTTTGGCAGGCATTCAAATGAGACGTGTCACAGAATATGCACAATGTAACTGTTCCTGTGGACACTGGCACAGGCAGTTCTTTTAGCAATGAGAGGGAGCGGGAGAGTATATTATGAGACAAGAAACTCAAGGACGGAAACTAGTATTTAAATACAAACCAGCTGGGTTTGGGTGTCTTTTGGGTTTTCTTCTGTGGTTTTTTTCCCAAGTAAAGACTCAATTAATTATTTACAATTCTACTCCCATAGGGATACTTGGTGGGAAGTGCTTGGAAAGAGGTCGCATTAAGAAGCCTGGGCAGGAGCTCTTTAAGAGTGAGCCATCTGAATATTTCAAGGCTCAGAATCTGTTTGTTGGAGCCAGAGTTTGTTTCCATGGTCACAACTTTCTTTTGGTGGATGCTGATGAGTACACGTTCAACTACATGGAGAAGCATGCAAATGAGGTGAAGCAGGCTCTTGTTATTTTATGCTGTCTTTAAGGACTGTACCTTATCTATATATTTTTCAGAATTATTTATAGCTAGTTTCTTCACCCAAAGTTTACAGCCCAGTGCTCTCTGTCTAGCAATGGATTTAGGAGATGTTAGCTAAGGATTGCATGCAAGTCTGGCCACTCTTTACTATTGATTCCCCTTCTACCTTCTCAGCATCCACTCTTACTGTATTAGGGGTTGTTAGAAGGTATATCCCTGCCTATTCCTTCTTGAGACTGTTTATGGACCTCTGTCCCTGAATTGATCTAACCCTTGTTGAACCTACAGATACTGTCTGCTTCCACAGCTTTCTGTGGCAGCAAGTCGAGAAGTTCACTGCCTACTGTGTAAAAAAATATATGATAAAAGAAGTAAGTATCTTTTATCTGTTTTAAACCAACCTCCCACTAGTTTCAATGCCAGTTCTAATATTCTGGGGTTTGGTGAAGATCCCCATTCACGTTATGCACCACCCTCATAATTTTGTAAATCTCAGACATTCTTCCCCTTCAGCCTAATCCTATCCTCCAGTTAAGAATCTTACCCTTTTTAATCTGTCCTTGCAAGTCAACTATGAGGTGTGGAGGCTGGAACAGTGCACAGGACTCAAGATGCAGGCACACCCAATTTAGAGTCTTACTGATGAGGCTACTTTATTCCCTGATTTGATTTTTTGCGTTCATACATATTTATCTGCCAAAGCGTTTCCCTTGTAATATTAGAAATTCATATTACAGTCAGGAATTCAAGCTTACAGTTTGTACTGAGTTTCACTGTCTTCTGGTGTTTCCTTCAGAGGGGAGAGCAACAATAAATAGAGAGCTGGGGTGCCTTAACTGATGTATATTTTATGCTACCAGTCATTACACAAATGGCTGGTAAAGAAGCCCTCATTCACCAAAGCCAGAAATGTATCCGATAGGAGGAAATTGATTGTCCTATAACAATTGTCACAGAGGTCAAAAAAGAAAGGATACAGGCATGGAGAAGCACAGAAGAGTCACAGAGCGTTTTGTGGGATTTTATGTTGGTTTGGCAAGAAGTGTTTGTTTGGTTTGGTTTTTTTTTTTTTTTCATGGTGAAGTTTGTGCTGCAGTATTTGAATAAATGTACCCTGGTACTTGGAAATTCCTGTTTTGCGTAGCTCTGACCCAGTCACTCTGAGACATAAGAATGCATCAGCTCAGGAGCCAAGGCATTTCTGCATCGCCATCCCTCTTCCGGATTGTTGGTTCATCACAGTGTGATCTTGAACATCAGCCTTTGGTCTAGACTGTGCTGTGAGCACTTTGGGGTAGTGTGTATGCTTCATAGCTCATGGTGGGGCGGCAGCATGAATTGTGCCTTCAGCAGACCTTCTCCAGAGCTGCCCTTTTGCATAGGCTTGTTGCAAGTACCCCTAGGGAAAATATCCAGGAGGGTTTATCAAGCTATGGTTCTCTGCCCATTTGTCCAGACCTTTTGTGGAGGGAGAAGGGGCAAGGTTCTTAGTGCAAGTTTTAATTGTTCCCTGTCTGCTGGCTCACCAAAGTGAGTGAACCCGCAGGACTCCCAAGACACCAGCAGGCCTAGCGCAGTCTTGGGGACTGTGAGTCTTGATGCCGTTGTGCTGCTGAGGCAGAGGTAGATGCAGCCTGACCCTGTGCTGCCTTTGGGCCACATGTGCTGTTCTCACTCAAATGAAAACAGCAGAATGGTGTGATTTCTTTGTAAATTAACGTGGAGCCAGCACCACCTGCCTTCCCTGGAATAATGAGGAAGGTCTGCAAAATGCTTGTTAATGTGAAATGCTACAACTGCTAAATGCTTTAAGCAGTAAAATACAAAGCTATATACATTATGTTTTCTTACTGCTGGACTGTTTCTCCTCCTAGTAGAATCAAAACCAAAGCTGTTCTCCAAAATGCAGAGTGCATCATTAGATTGTAAATGTTCTTTGGAGATGCTGTTTGCATTGATTATCTTGGATCAAACAGATGAGATCTTGGTTTTCCAGAATGAATGATTGTATGTTATCAAAATAAAATCTGCAAAATGGGAAGAAGCAACACTAAAAATACTTCTTTAAAGTGAATTTTGAAATGTTCTTTGCACAGTTAAGATTTTAAAACGGCTGGTAGAAAAAAAGGTTTATACTCCCAGTGATAGATGCTTTATTCACATCCTTTGAATAGAGCTCCAGAAGTAAGGACACACCTTGTTTGCCTCTGATCATCAGGGGATTGCATACTCAAATCACAAGAACTTCAGCAATTATTAGAGAGGAGTAGAGGTAGAAGATGGTTTGAAGGGGGGGAACAATTTTAAGATGAATATTTGTCAGTTATTTCTAAAATTAGAAAATAAATAATTTTCCTTCTGAATAGACAGAGGTTTCCTTTCAGCAGAACACATCAGTACGTTTTATGAAAACTGGTGAAAGAAATCCAGATGGAATATTTTTCTTCTGGAAAATGCCATTTTGACCACTTTTCTATAGGCATATGCTGGTTTAGATGAAATTTTGATTGGTAATCATAGTGCAGGAGGGAATTGATTTTGCTATCATCAAAATATTTGTTTGACACCATATGAGATATTTGGAAAGTTCTAATCTTCTGTTTCAAAATTGTCCTGGTTTCGGCTGGGATAGAGTTAATTTTCTTCCTAGCAGCAGGCATAGTGCTGTGTTTTGGATTTAGTAGGAGAAGAATGTTGATAACATGCTGATGTTTTTAGTTGTTGCTGAGTACTGCTTATGCTAGTCAAGGACTTTTTCAGCTTCCCATGCTCTGCCAGGCGCACAAGAAACTGGGAGGGGGCACAGCCAGAATAGTTGATCCAAACTGGCCAAAGGGCTATTCCATACCATATGACGTCATGCTCAGTATAGAAACTGGGGTGGGGGGCCAGGGAGCAGCAATCGCTGCTCGGGAACTGTCTGGGTATCGGTCGGCGGGTGGTGAGCAATTGCATTGTGCATCACTTGCTTCGTGTATCATTATTATTATTATCATTATTATACTGTTACTATTAGCATTACTATTTTACTTTATTTCAATTATTAAACTGTTCTTATCTCAACCCAGGAGTGTTTCTCACTCTTACTCCTCCGATTCTCTCCCCCATCCCATCGGGGTAGGGGGAGTGAGCGAGCGGCTGCGTGGTGCTTGGTTGCTGGCTGGGGCTAAACCACGACAATTGTGTTGCTTTTAAGTTATGGGGAAAGAAAAATCATGGAGTCTTGTCATTTTGATTGCCACCTGTACTGAAAGTAACTTTAAGGATCTAATTCTGAGAACTTTTCATCACTTTCAGTTTCTTTTCCAATTTGAGGAAAAAAGATGCATTTAGAAAGCGTAGATTCGCTTGCAAAGCAGAACATGTATGTTGTGCACAGTCCTACCAGTATTATCCAGGTTCGAGAAGGACTCTTTCAAACAAGGCATCACTGTGCCTCCTTGGAAATTAATTCATCATCTCTGAAACAGTCTCAATTGTTCAAACTCAGTAGTCTTCTGCAGCACAAACATGGAAGTTGATTTTACTTCCATTGAATTAAACATAATAACCTCTGACTTAAGTAAGGCAATCAAACAAAACTAGATTGAGACTACTAGCATGTCAGCAATTACATGAGAAGGGGGGAAAGTGGGTCAAGAGTTATTGCCATCCTGCTCAGCTACTCAATGTCTACGTAGGTGTTTGGAATATGTAGCTTATAAAAAAAGACATAAAAATAACTGGTTTGATAATGTAGAGAAGGCAGGTTTTTAAATAGACAGAACACTTTGTCCATCTTTAAATATCCTGCTGATTGATTCCTTCTGCCCAGTCCTTTCTCATTGTCTGTTCCTTGCTTTTTCAGCAAAAAGCTGTGTGTTTACAGCCCAAACAATAACAGCTTGGGGAGGGGATTGAAAAGTTGCTGTCTCTAAAACTTTTTGATTGCTGATCCAGCTGCTCCACACCACTGCCTTGCGTGGCATTGCATGCCAGGGTTGGACCTGGAGCACTTTTGGCATATGCAGCAACTGCTTTCTCTAAATCTCAGCATGTTACCTGCAACCACTGATGTATTTATTAAACTTGGATCACTTCATACTGCTCTGGCAGTGTCATAGGGACTTTAAATACCCTTTTCTAGATCCCTTTGAACTGATACAATGCTGTAGATGGACTTAGCATAATTGAGAGCGAGGCCCAATCTCTATTGTGATTAGGTCCTTAATACCAGTCATACCAAATTTCAAATAATTACTAGTTAAAACAACATTGCTTACTGGAAGAAATGGGAGAAAACTATTTTCGGACAGTTCATTGTGCTTTGTAAGTTAGGTAGAGCATGGCAGATATAAGAGCATATCAGATATTCATGGTTGGACTCAACCCCTATTTAATGACTAAATACATGTTTTATGTTAAAAATGAGTATAGCAAATACATCTTTGGTAGAGCTCTAACACAGGAATCTGAATGTAGGGTGGAAGCTTAAGTGCTCCAGTTCTGTTTATCTAAATTTAATTTTATTTTAATGACTATATTGAGAAGAAATAAGCATTCTTCTTACATGACAGGAAAAACTGGTTCCTAACAAATTTCCAATCTGCTAATTCTGAGTATGTAAACCAGCATACTCAGTCTAATATGAGTAAGAACATATGTTCAACAGTTCATCGGAGCCAACAGTGAAAAGATTCATTTTAATGTGGTGAATTTTATTAATTGAGAATTAAGTGAGATGCACCAACATAAAATGAGGACCAGGTTATTAGAACTGTACTTTAAATGTTTCTGCTTCTGCTTTAACAATTCAATGTTTGAAGCAAAAGTGCATGTCCTTTTATGTGGCTGGAATAAGCTTTCTGAGAGTGCATGATCTGATGAGTTTTGTTTAATTTTTTATATTCTCATTAGGAGGCAACTTTTTTCAGTAGCAAGCTACCCTCCAAACTTAACACAGTGCTGAGTTGTGCATTTGAAGTGAGACATTGAAGCACTTCAACATTGCCCTGCATCTTGACAGCTCTTGCTGGTACATACATAGTTGGTTGCATAGTGCCTTTCTCTCTAATCTGTGTCTTGCTTTCCTTTGTTAAGTTCTCTGTGGCTGATATTGGTGTCATCCTCAAGAAACTGAAAGACATAGCGGAACCTCGTTCCCGAGAAATCAGACAGGTGTTTGCAGCTGCTGACCCTGAGCATACCAAGGTGATTGAGTATGACCCTTTCAGGTAAGACAGTGGATTTTTGGTTTTTAATAGTTAATGAAGGCACGCTCCCCAAAAATGTGTAGAGCATGACTGTTCCTTGATGCTTTCTGCATGTGTTAGCTGACAAATGGGATACATTTGTTTTACATTTACTTGGAGACTGTATGTGAAAAGGAAAGTGAATCCATGCCACAGAAAAAAAGAGAAATGCAGTAGTTTTAAGTAAGCTGAAAAGCACAACTAAAATCTGTCTACTTTTTATGGAGCTGGCACAGGGTGTTGTGAAGAGGGGCAAGTCAGCAGTAATATATACACTGAAGGATAAAGAAAAGCCTATTCTGAGAGAGTCAAACAAATTAATTGGTAGTTTTGGAATTCAAGAAAGAATGTTTGAGCTTGCCTCCTGAAAATTATGTTATTTGGGTTTTGAATTATTGATAAAGAAGAGAATCTTTGCAGAACCACGATGTATTGAAATTATAGGATGCAGTGATAAACATCTTTAAAAAAGACTGGAAAGCAGTAGTGAGAGCAATGATTAATGCTTGGATAATAATTTCAGCAGAGGTAGGGTGAGTATCCATACCTGGATTCTGGCAATGATCCAGGTGTGGCAATGGGCAAATGTATAGATACTTGAAAGAGGAAGTCATGTTCAAAGGCAAGCTGATTTCAGTTTGTCCCACAGCCAGAACACTTGAGCATATGAACTGTGTTGGGTACTGGTGAAGTTAATGAAGTGGAACAGAGGAGGAGATTTTGCCTAGAAGCATTTTGGTTTTCACAGTGGTAATATACTATGTGTTTAGGAACTGTCGTAATAACAAAGGCATATATGTAGATGTATATTGTGTGGAATGTCAACCCTATAGGAATGTTAAGCAAGGCAGAAATTGCTTCTGAAATATCTTAGAAGATCTATAGATCAGCAGAAGGTTCTTCCAGCAATTCAAAGTGAAAACAGTGAGAAATGAAAACAAACTGGTACTCAGAAATGAAAAATAAATTATTAAAAGGTAGGATTCAAACTAAGAGAGGCCACAGTTATTGGCAGTTTTTGGCAAAAATATTTCTAGACTTGGATGTTTTACTCAACGGAAGCAAGATTCTGAGTTGTTAACTGCATTAAGAAGGACAATGTTATTACTAGAGTAAGAAGTGGAGAAAATGGAAAGTTCGTGTATATCTGGAGAAACTTTATTGCACTTGGAAGAGGTTTCGAACTTATATGCACAATAACTTTTTAAGATCAAATAATTATGGTTTTGGTTCAAATTATGAAATAATCATATGCAAAACTTTGTCTTCTTACATGCACTAAGAGTAGGTCAATGTTTCGGAACATTTGCATGACAAAATTGGTGGAGCACACTTTTAGAAGGGATGATTGTGCTTTTAAACAGCAGGGAAGGATTGTTATTTTATCAAGAGACGGCTCAGTTGAGTGTAAATTTAATCACAGTCATACTCTGTGCAGCTGTGAACTGCCCAGCTGTTTAATTTAGGCTAGTGCTGTTCTGTGGCATGGAGTAAAGTATGCCTAGTTATATGGTATTGAGGCACTCGGTTTCAGCAACAAAAATGCAGTAGCCCTCTCCATGAGTAAGAGAGAAAGCAGGGGAATCTGTGTAATACTGTTTCTTTGGCCTCAGTGCTCAACTGGGCCTGTCTGAGCACCTACTAATGGTCTACATCTCTCCTTTGGTGGGACCACAGGGGGTCTAACAGGAAGCATTCACACCGCCAGAGGAAGAATTTGCCTCTAAGGAACATTTAACTTTTGTGCTTTATAGTGATAGTAGATTTTGTTTCTGTTCATTCATATTATATCCTGTAATCTGAAGGATCTCTTCTTTTTACTATCCATGTATCTTATTTTAGAATGAAAGAACCATTTTTAATGACGAAGATGAGAGCACTTCTTTGCATCTATTAAAAGTCAAAGATATTTTACTGTGAATAGAATATGTATTTTTCTTTCAGTGTTGTATTTTCTTGTGTACATCACTGTTTATTTTTAATATGTTGTGGCATTTCATGATTATAACTAACTACAAATGATATTTTTAGTACAGGCAATTATCTGTGTGACAGCTTCAGCCAGCATGATAATCCTCTTTTCTTATCTTAAATACAGCTAAGGCATTACTGTGCTCTGAATCTGGATGTTCAGATTTCTTCCTTTCTACCTATGTAATTTGATATCAGCTGCATTTAAAAATACACCTATAAGCATGATTTAGTGAAACAGAATTGTAATTATACAATTTATTTTAACTACTTTCAGAACCCAAATCTACAGCACATCATTCAAGAAGTAAATACATGGCGTACATTGAAACTATCCCCTAAGCTATCGTTAAAACTATCAAAAGCTTTGTTAAAAAGAGAAGAAAAAAACCCCTAAAACTTAGATGCCTGTGCATCACGTGGTCCTATCCAGACTGCTTTTTCTCATAAGCTACTGGCAAGACTGTTTGCTGTTAGAGACAAAGAACCATGTGGGTTTAACAAAGATGCCTATCTTCAATTCAGCTTGAGAAACAGCTCTCTTAAGCAGTTAATTATTATTTCTTTCTCTACCAAATTCAGATTTCAATCTGTCTTATTCTTCTAGAAGAAAAAAAAAAGTAAAACAAAAAGCTGTGGGAACAATTGTTGCAGCTTGTTTCTTTTTGTCAGCAAGAGTTTAGATATAATATTGCGTGTGAATCTTGGGTATCACTCATTAGTCCCTAGCAATCACTAGAACATTCCTTAATTCCCAAATGAGACAATAATTTTATCTGGGGGTTTTGGTGACTTGATTGTCACTGACTGGCTTGAGAAAATAAGAGACCTTTAAAATCCTGACACTGGAAAAATCTGTGCCGTGTGTGGAAATCCAGTCTGTGGAAATATTCAGATGGGTGATGTTATCTACATGCTTTCAGCTTTGCCAGCCCAAGCATTTAGAGCACCAGGCTTATCGGGCAGTATTGTCCTCTTTGTGTTTGCAGTGGTATTACTGCAGGCTCCAGGAAAGAGGCTCCAGTTTTGACTGGATCTCTGAATGCTGCTACAATATAAATAATAATATTCAGTAAGTGGAATAATAATACTGTCAAAATAATGATAATATTAATAGTTGGACCAAGTTTTGGTCATTGAGTTTGCATAATCTCAAATAAGGTTTGCTACTGTCAGCAACTTGTCATCTTCTTATATTTATCTCCTGCCACTGCAAATAAAGGTTCTTTCTGATTTATTTAGTATGAAAAAAGCAGCAGTTGAGTCAAAGTAGACACTATACAGTGTTTAACATCCTTTTTTGAATAGCTGTGTAAGTGCAATCATATTCTATGAAGAGATATCTTCCTTTGAACAGGACTGCACAAGCCTCTGAGAGGAAACAAGTGAAAAATTATGTTTTGTTGATAAAATTTTGCAATTTGGAAGGGTACAAAGTTTCTGTGCTTTCAGTTCACATGTGGATGTTAAGAGAGTCATTATCAGATTCATTCAAGAATTTAACTGTTCTCCAGCCAGAAGTTTGAGTCTTGAGTCAGAACTTTGTGCATCACTAATAATTTCTTCCATTTGTTTTCAAAGATTGATATATAATCACAGTGATGCAGTACCCTCAAGGGTACCACGAGGTATGGCTCTAATTGCACAAGCAATTACGATGAAGTTTATTCTTAGTGCAGTTTATCCAGAAGTATTATATATAATTAATCTAATTTTGGTTGAGGCACATAGGCCTATGTTGATGCTTGCTGTTAAATAAAATCCTGTTGAACATGAGCTCACCAGAGGCAGACATTTGGGTTCATAACACCAACGTATAGTTACACTAAGCCAGGTTTGACAAGAGGCCTTGCAACAGCTGAAGTAACCTACAATTCAGGCCATTTTTTTCCAGGAGATCAGGAAGCCTCCTAGGTTTCCTTGCATACCTCACTACTGGTGTTTTTCTTCCCTTATGTTGTGTCACCATCCAGGACATATGAAGAAATGAAGAACTCTGTAACCATTGAAGGCAATAAAACTCCTACTACAAAGACAATGTACTGTTTAAAATTAGTCCTTCTCCTCCCCTCCACCAACTATATTAAGCAGAGGGAGATTGTTCTGAACTGTAATTGCTAGTCCTGGTTCTTAAGCTCCAAAGCTTGTGTCCATTTGCTGATATACTACAAGTGCCTTCAGGACCTTACCCAGAAATCACTTCAGCTCTATTACCAGGAACAAATTCTTGACATTAACAGGAATGGCTAGTCATTCAGTGCCAGCACTGGCCCATTGGATGGATCTCAGGGACATTTCTTCTTCCTTGGGTTGGGCTGATTTGTTTAAACAGCACAAGCAATCTTGGGAGAGCACATCTCAGGCTCTTCCCTGCACAGCATCTGACTCTCCCCTGACAGTGTCCAAGCATAAACTGGTCTTGCCACTGCCTCCTGTCTTCCATTCTTGCCAGGAGGGCTTGTGATTACAAGTTGGATGTAATTTCTGCCCTCTGTGACCAACTTCTGTTTCCCTTCCCCCAGCTTTCCCCTGAAAGCTACCCCACAGGGCCAGCTTTCACAATGCTGCTAATATTCCATGTCAGTATGGCATCTCCGGTAAAAGGCTTCAGTCATTATTATTATGTTTTTTTTGTATGTGTAGCCAACTACGGAGCAAATGTGGACATCCTGCAAAAGTTTAAGAGTTCAGGTAATTTCCATTATACCTCCTTGAACAGATCTAGATTTCAAATTTAAGTAGATACATTCTTTAAAAGTGTAAATACAGCATTTTATAATGAGTGCACTTTAATCCTTTCTTCCCCCCCAAATCTAGTGATTATTAACTGTTTTTAACTCCTTTACTTAAAACTAATGTAGGCTGTTGTTTTTGTGAACAGAAATTTGATATTCAATATCACTGATGGAGCATTTTCAGAGCATGAAATTGTGACTCTTGGGCGCTGTTACAGTGTGAGAGATGAATATGAAATGGACCTCCACTTACTTCTTGCAGTGGCTCAAGAACAACTAAAGAAAAATGGCTTTGAGAATTTTGAACAACTGTCTGCAGTGCTTATATACAATGACCGTGAAAAGTAAGTTTCCTCTATTTCTCCTAAGCTGTTATTTGGGAAGCTCTGCTTGCAAAGCTACCTACTTTCTGTTTGTTGCTGACCAAATGATAGATTGCCACCAAAGGATAGTATTTGTAATGTTAAGCCTCTCTCAGCACTTGACAGTAGACAAGAAAAGGATAGCCTTTTTGTCTCTTTTTCATTTTGTTTGTGGACTTTTTACTATAGCTGCTGTACTGAATGTTCTGTGACATAATCAGATGCCTGTTCACAGGCAAAACACAGTATTTTAAAGCAAAGAGGAAAAATAGTGATTTAAGGGAAAAAAGAAAGGATTTGTAGCTGATTCTGTATATGACTCATTTGCCCTTTTTGTTCTCTGATGTCACAGATAAAGAATCACAGAATCACTAAGGACTTCACTGTGTGGGAGACAAGCCACCACGTGCACTTCAAGTTTCTCGGCTTTGTAATAGCAAAATTTCATAAAACCTTGTTTTCTTTACCTCTACCCCAGCATTCCTCACGTGTTTTCCTATTCTCAGCAACATTCACTTGAAGTAAATCTGGAAAATACCTAATGTACGCTTCTCCCCCTCTCTTTCTGTTTGCGTAGATGTGGAGTGCTGCCCCATGAGATGTGCAGGACTATTTGCAAGTCTTTTAAGTTGCCAGTGGCTGATGATGATCTGCAAGCTTTACTGACCATGTAAGTTAAGGGCAGATAGTATGACCTGCATGCATGGGTGCAAATCAGTGCTAAATGTCTATTGCAGACACAGTTCTTAAGAATTTCTCATTTATATAATATTAATAATTTCACGATGCTGATTTTGTCCTTTTACACATGTGGACTTTCCCATTTATAGAATATTTATAATCAACTAAGGTGCATCCATCTTAGCAACTTTTCTTCATTTTGTCTGGCATGGTAGATCATCCGGGTTTTGCCAGAATTCTATGGAATTAGTCTTACGGGATTCAGCTACTGATACTTATCACTATCAGTGAGATTCACTTTTTTTGCATTAGTTGTTCCTGTGTATATGTACGGTAAAACCCAATAATCTTATGAAAGCACATTATGTGAGTTTGAAGAAACATACCAAAATGAATACAATGAAATGTCCTTGAATGCAGTAGACAGTATCAGTAGTAAATAAAAGTGATGTTACTCCTATTAATCTCACCTGAAACATATTTTATTGTAATTTTTAAAAAGGAAAAGGAGCGTTGGCATGGTTTTGGTATTTTTCCATAGCACATTTAATTGTTTCAAGACAAATTGCTTGGCTAGCTGTATTAATGGGGATAGAAGTGAAACGACCTAGTATTCAGTGCACTTGTATTAAAAGCTAGAGTTCAGAGTAACTTGTGGTCATGTTAAGTTTGGTTTTCATGGCCAGATTTTCTGGTAATAGGTTTAAATGCATGCTCATTGGTCTCTTCTTTCCCTTGTGGGAAATCCTTAAATGTTTTGTCTGTGGCTTCAGACTGTGTTAAAAGCAGAACCAGGTCTTGTCTTCTGTCATATTTAGATGATTTCAGGTAGATATACTTCTTGATTTCAGGAGGAATTGCAAACTAAGCATCTGGATTTATCAAATAATGAAGAGACTCTTGTCAGGCAGAAAAGTGGAATCCATTTTAATAAAGCGTCTTCATACTGCAAGCAAGGCTTCCTACTTAAATCAGTATCAACAAGACTGCTTTAAGAAGCCTAAGGGACTGTTTTTCACAAAGCCCCCATTTCCAGACCAAAAACTTTCAAAACAGTTCCCTGCAGTAGCCAGATAGATGACTTTGGCGATTTGTTTGCAGTTCATCACTTTTGACAGTTAGGTTACAAGCATTAGTCATCAGAAGCACGTCTGAGTTTTAGCATTAATCTAAACTCATTTTTTAGGACTCCTACTAAGCTGCCCAACACAAAACATGTTGGAGGACAATTGACATCCTGTACTAGACGAGGGGTTCTCATAGTTTCCATTTCGTAAAGGCTGAAATTGAATAGATGCACAGACAAGGGACTGGAGGTTTTCCTTTATGTACTGACTCTATGCTGATGAAAAACAGACAAGCCTGACACATCATAGGCTCCAGAGATGTGTTTATTGTTTGTGAATTTATACCAGGGAGAGCTTTTGAGAGATGAAACTCTTCTCTCCTGAAGAGTCGCAGTGTAGGCAGTTAAAAAGAAAAAGCCCAGTACACTATAATAAAAATTAGAGATAAGCTTACAAGACGAGGAGACTAAGGGTTGGATTTTACCCAGCTTTAGGCAGGTACCCATGACAACTGAATTAGGATTCAGCCGCTGTAGGTTCTTCTGTAGGCGATGGAGAATGAGAGCGTTATCTCCTCAGCCTGTATAAGAGCTGGATTTCTAAATTACCATCCGTTTTCCTTTGTTTCTGAAGGGGCTGTGGCCAGCCTGTATTGCAAATTTCTATATGAGAAAGGTAAATGGTGTGAAGCTGGGCCTCAGAAATCAGTGTGAGAAGTACTTCATATGATAGAATGCTATGTGCAATGCCAGTTCTAAGTTACAGTATCAGCTGCTTTGAAAAATGGCAGTTTATGTGGTGAGTCACTGCATTGCAGATAAGAAGGAAGATTGTCACATTCTTAATAATGTGTGCAGTTGGCACTCTGTGGTAAATTTATTGTTTCATGAGGGTGCGAAGTCAGGGAAAGATTTTTTTTTTTAAGTCTATTTAATAGGAGTTAATTTCCAGTAATCTGGAAATCGAAGAGTAGAGTTGGCTGAATGAGGTTTAGACTTTTCCTTTCCTCCTGCTTTCTGTAGTTTTCTTTGAGACTGAAGAATCATGAAACAGGCAGGTTTATTATTAATGAAGAACAGTCTCACTCCTGGGGAGTATGCAATTCAGTGTGGGCAAAGTTTGTCAACAATATTCTTTCCTTGGGTTTTTTTGGATGAGGAAGTATGTAATTTTGTGTCCATTGATGTTTCTGAAGCAAGCGGCGGTGGTGTTCCTACTGTGTGTATCTGTATTTATGAAAGAAGAAAGTGGTACAGTAAAAGTTGTTGGACTGCTTCCCACAAGCTCAGTATATATATAGCTAATGCACTAGCTGGACCCTGTTCAGCTATAAAATGATGCTAGACAATGTGATCAGATAATAGTTGAAGACTAAAGCTATATGTTTATTCAGCTTTGCTATCTGAGATTAGGTGGCAAAGACTTTCTGTAGGACTTAATGATTCTATTTTTCCATTTTGAAAGGCAATACTCTTAAAGTATTTATTATTTACACTTGTAAATTGTACTGCAATGATCTGTCACTTATTAAAAGCATGAGATGGGACTAGAAGTTACTGTCAAGTTTTGTGGTCACCTTCAGATGACCCAAGACTTTGTTTACTGTACCCAAAGACCATTCAGTTTCCACAGAGTGCAGGGAGAATTAGCACAAAGACTGTGAGGTTTCATAATACCCTTTCAAATTGTCTGCCTAAGAGTAAATTTGTATTTTTAATTGTGGGATGGTGGAATAGTGGGATTTAAGTACCCAACAATGTGTCCATTTTTCCAGTTTACCTGAGCTGGCCTATTAAAAAGCATTTCCTTTCTCCACCAGCATTTTCTCACTTAGTTTTTTAATCACAGGGCAATACAGACTTTTAATCACAATGTATTAAGCAATGCAGATGGTGCACAATTGTTTCTGCCAGAAAACTGCAGTAGTCATTATAAGCATTTCTTTAAATTTATGCAGGCATAATGAACAATTACAGTTTGCTTCATAAATAAATGTTGCTAAAGTGCTTAAGTAATGAATTTAGGGGTTTTTTTTTTTCCGTTATTTTTTATTTACTGCAATGCTAAATGTATGCTAACAAGGACTTAGAAAGATGCAGTCCTTCCCCAGAGGGTATATAAACAGCTGGCAGTTAAGCAAAGAAAAAATGGAGGGAAGAAAGAATGGATGACAAGTTTACATGTATTACACGTTGATTGTTCTGCATTAGTTTAGTTGTTAAGCATATGTCCCTATTTTTTAAACTATGTCTTTTAATTTCCCTTAAAAGTGGCTTTGTAGTTCTTCACCTCTCTGCAGTACCAAGATGAGACTGTTGGACTGTGGAGGGGGGCTTGTTCTGAAAAAGTTAATCCCTAGTGTCACAGGTAGGAGTGCCTGATAACAATGGGCCTCCTACATGGTCATTCCAGTTCTCAAGTCACTAACAGGCCAGGCCACTCTTGCCTGCTCAGCTTTTCCCTGGTTTGTGGCTGAGTAATAATTTTTTACCTAGTTGCCTACCTGTAATTTTTTTTTTAGGGCTGACCTATTTCTTTCAGGAAGGAAACCCCCTTTTCTGGCTACAGCAGTGTCCTGGTAGCAGGAACAAGATTGGAAGTGGTCACAAGATCTTTCTCCTGCACTCTGTCTTCTGCTCGTTACCTTTGATGCCTGAGACTCCTTATGCCATTTGTGATGAAAAGACTCTCTAGCATTAATATCTGGATCTCTTCAAAGAAATTATTTCTGTTATTCAGTATGCTGAGGAACTGATGGTTCAATTTATAGTTGTTCAAGATGTGGACAAATGTATACACAAGATGGTAGCCATTACTTAATTCATCCTGATCAGCTGCATAGACTTGTCCATGTTTGCTGTTTTAAATCTTTTCATATGTGCAGTTTGTAACAATGTAGATGTATACATGTGTTACACAGACACTATCAAACAGGCTGAAGAATCCCAACATTTTCTCTAAGATTAAAGAGCATGATGCTTCTCCTCTATTATTATCAGATTAACTTCTTAATAAATGTTATTCAAAACTAAGGAATTAAAAAAATTCTGCCTGTACATTAACTTTTCATATAAATGTTTGGGTTACAGATCTCATGATGGGAAAGGAAAAATATTTGTAAGTAGCCTTTACTCACCAAAGCATCCTCAGGAATGGTCATAATGTGATTTAACCAGATTTTTCACATATCTGGAGTATTTCATTACAAATATATTTTTAGCAGCAGAAATGTGCGATTATTTCTGTAATGTCAAAGAAAAAAAAATCTCTGCAAACTATGATAGGGATGGAGGAGTGACTTTTGTAGTCTAAAATCACATGTATTGGTGAAGCCATAGGGCAAAACTGAAGAGAAGCATGGTTTCAAGAGACCTTTGTTGCATCTTCTTGATAAGACAAATCTAATTTCCTTTCCTGAGGAGCACTGTCAGTTTCAGTCATAATAACTCCAGCCACTGAAATGTATGACATCTCTGTCCAAATAATGCACAAATTGATAACATCTCCTCAGTCCATCTGGATACTCTGTGCCAAATTGCAAGTGTGTGCTTTTAGTAGATTGATACTATAAGTCGCAGCAGGAAAGAGATCTAAAGAGTAGATTTTTTTTTTTCTTTCTAGATTATTCTAGAGTAATATTTTAAGTTGCTTTCTGTTGCTATTTAAATATGGGGTTTAGGAATCCCATTTCCTCTGCCCATGTTAAAGTCTTTGGTTACAATTAACTTCATGCCCATGTTGTCATCTCAGTTTGCTCGTGTTGTCACATCAAAGGACTTTTCTCCTTGTTAATGTTTGTCGAAAGCAGAAGCAATGCTTTCCTTGACTTCGTTGCCTCAACATAAAGTTTACGTAGTTACACGGCTTCACTTGTTCTTTATTTAAAAATCCTGCTTATAGAGCTCTGCATCTTGGCAGTAGACTTAATCTTTGGACTTTTCACAATAAGCAAAAGGTAAGTACATATATAGTAAAAGAAAAAAAATAATTGTCATGATGGTTCTGCAATTCAAAATCTGTGTGCCATAGCTTTTTTCCAAGAGGTATAAACTTTTTTATTGTCTTGTTACATCTAATGCAAAACTCCTTTCTTTTCCCAACTGCCACTTGCAAAAAACCTGAAACAATCAAGAACCTGCTAGAAGTGGGAATGGTAATTTTCTTGTATATTGGATATATTCCCCAAAAGTAAGGCTTTATGAAAATGTTAACTTGCATGTGAGCTATTATAAAGAAGCAAGCTATCATAGGAGGGTTTCTCATGGCAATGTTTCAGGCTCCTCTTTAGTACTAGTAACAGTAGCATTCTTTTCTGACTTTGCTTTCATCTTCAGCATAACTCACTGTACTTAACATTCCAGTTTATCACTAGCATCTCTGTTTATGGCTCTCAGTATATTTTACTATTATCTCTCCTGCTGACTATTAAATGAAAGGTTTGGGGGGAGGAGAAGGAGAGGATGAGTTGCAGTTTATTGTAGTTTATTTTTGTCACTAGATTTATTTCTCCTCTTCTCTGGTATTGTTTTCCAAGTTTGTGCTGTAAATTGTCCCTTGAAGTACCTTCATGCTTAATTTTTACCAGAACCCTCTGCAGTGGTTGAAGGGTTTTGAGGCCCATGTTTTGTGCAGTGCTATTTCTTTAAGAACAAGATAAAATGGTTTTCTAAAAGACTTGTTTCCCGGACATGATCCTGCTCCTGTGCAGTAGTATTTGTCTCATGAGATTAAGGGGCAGAATTGTTTAACCTGATGTTTCCCACCAAAGAATAGGTATTGAATCTTGCTAGTTGTGTATGTCTCTCCATGGACCCCAGAGAAGCACAAACACTTCCAGGGACCTAAACCAGGTCTCTTTTATATGTAGGTAGTGTAAGGTGAGACAAATGTCATTCACAGAAGCTGCTAGTACAGTATTTGTAGCAAAGCAGTTAAGCTGTTCATTTCAAGAATCATTTGCGTAGTAGCTTCAGCTTGCGGATATCTTTCAAGCATTTGACTAGTCCCACTGAAATAACAGTGCTTCCCAAGTGCCTTAATCACTGAAGTGTTTTGCTGAATTGAGGACTTTTTTTCTGAAGCTGCTTTATCCAAGTCAGTGGCAAAAGGATGGCATGGCTTACAAATCTGCTCCTATGGGGTTTATTAGTGCAAGGTAATTATTTGAGAAATCTGAGGGAGGGAGATAGCGTGATCCACATGTACCTGTAGACATTAGCTGGCAGCATATATATCTTCATGTATTTAGGGGACCCTCCTAACTGACACAAATATATATTTATTCCATAGAAATAAAGAACAATGCCATAAAACAACTGCCAAATGACAAGGCTTGTGATTTTTGACTCTGGCTATTATTTGATAGGTTAGAGAGCTGTATGTTTGTCGATTGTAAATTGATCCCAAGGTGTGTGCAAGCAGCATTTCTGAAGGATTGCTTATTTTCAGGAAATGATTGTAGAAGCCATATAAAGCAGGTTAGTTGTGTTATAGCACAGTTCTCTTGTATCATTCTACCTGTTTCTCTTCTACACAAAGGAATCATACACCGATCATCCCAACTCAATATTTGTCACCAATTGTGAGATCCCAGTGTTGGAAAAGGTTGGCCAATGCTTCAAAAGTAAAATGAAATTAATTGAAATGTAATAAACCTTAAAGAAGTTTAATTCTACTATGAGAGACAATAATAAGGTGTAAGAATATGGAATAGAATGTATGATATAGAAGTCCTGACAGTTTGGTAGTGTTTTTCTTTACTTCTGCCAGCGTTTGGTAATAAAGGAGTAGAAAATTGTTATCCAAAGGGTAATGTATTAGTATGCTGTAGATAACATGATACTACTTTGTTTAAAATTTCCTTTAACCTTGAGTCATCTTATGGATATTCTGCTTAGGTTTGAAGATGACCATAAGCAAGTTGAATATAAAAAGTTTGTGGATGGGCTGAACTGGAGAAAGAATCAGATCCCTGCTTTCCAGATGATAAAGGTTCCTCTCAAGGTAAAACCAGTGTATCTGAGCAAAGGAACAGTACAGTACATTGATATAATTTGTCTAGCTTTTAACATGAATGCTTTATCCAATGCAGACCACAACAGCTTTCATATTTGCATATTTGTGTCTGTTTTCCTCAAGTAACTATTTTTTTCTGGGAGGTTTAGAATGAAGCAGAGAAGTCAAACAGGGATGAGGAGCCTCACAGCACCCCTGTACCTAATAGGCGTCACATTTCTGTGACCTTTTTCTAGAAGAAAAAAGAAGAGAAGGGGAAATAGGTGTATTTGTCCATGAACAATGGGTGTGAATACCACTTCACCCACAAATATTGTTGTCACATGCCAAACAATCTGTTCACTTGCTGAGGTAGCCAGGAAATACTTTAAACTCCACTGACACTGCAGAAAATAGCCATTTATTTTTTATAACTCCGTAGAAACTTGTACATAATACACCACATTACTGGTAGGCGTACAGCAAGAGCAGTATTGATGGATAAACTTTGTATATCTCCACCAGCCTGCTACTTAGGGTAAATAAAAATGTGGTATCAACAAACTACAGAAATTAATCTGATCTTGCCACCTTGTGCTGAATGGAACATTTTAAAATAGATGGTGCATAATGCAATTATGCTGATTTTTAAAAACTTTGTAACAGATAAAACCGAAGCCTTTCTGCCAACACGTAGTTTTGCCGTTCTGGCCTAGCCAATGTGTTGCTATGCTTGTACAGAATGTATTTGATTGTATTCAGGCTGTTCAGAAATGTAGCATTTGTTTAAATTCAAGTTTGATGGTGACATAGTTTAAACCAATATTCCTCAAGTACTGTGCTATTAACCTGACTCTTCTCTCTTACTTGGCTTACCAGCTCTTTCTTCTGTAGCATCTCAAACTGTCGGTGATGTCTAACGAGGGCCCAATGCTGCTGGTTTGCTCTGCTTTCCACTGTGGTTTATTTTTCGTTTTGTCATTGAGAAGTTTTCTGTCTTGTACAGATCAAATGAAAGCCCTTCCACGTGTTTTATACAGCAGTCCTGTGGTTCAAAGTGTGCATGAGGTTTTGTTCAGTGGATATTCTTTGTTTGTACAGAAGAATTCTGTGCTTAAGTTATAACTCAATATTTAAACAGTGACTGCTCTCAGGAGATTGTGTCAGGGTAAGGGAAGGGGCCTTGTGAGCCTCAGTACCGCAGAAACAAAAAGGTCAGAGCCTTTGCCTGGAGGATTTTTGCCTTGAAGATGGTGCTAAGCTCTGTGCCAAAAAACAAGGGTGAGAGAATCAGGGGCACAGATACACTTGGTGTTGAATGTGTTTGACCATTTTTTCCCCTTACAGGATGGCTTAGGTAGCCATTGAGCATGAACTGATTGCTGGCAGGTGAGGGAAGGAGATAGCTCCTGTGGGGTGAAGGTGGGGTGCAAGTGGCAGTGGAACCAAGAGGCAGACTTCACAAGTTGAAGGTGTGGAGGAAAAGATGCTTGTGAAACAAGCGGGAGGTTGAAGTGGACATTTGTGTTGAAACGTATGTTCTGATCAGCATAAAAGATGACGTTTCGTTTGGGTATGAAGAAGACGTTATCTTTGCTTGGAGGAAGGACAGCCAGTGGATGGGCTTTCTGGGAGTGGCTGATGCCCAAGAACCTCAGTTGAGAATGGTACATGGAGTTACGGGAGGAAGGTTACAGCTGAAATCAAAAAGGAAGAAAGAGCATCAATAGAAATTATAATCAGTCATCATCATGCTGCAATAATCAGTTCCTCATCAGCTCCAAAGCCTTGCTGTAGCTGTCACACTGACATATAGCACTGTTTTAATGAACTGCGCCCAAACTGGTGCCAGTATAGTTAACTGAGTTTTATTGACTTTATTATTTTGTTAGTTAGTTACAATACCTAGGCTGTCTTTGGTACAGTACAAGAATATTTTAATGAAGACATCAATATGAAATGGAAAAAAATCAGAGAAAAGAAGGGATTTAAATCTTGTTGAACTTTGGAATCCCGTTGTCATTCTGTTCATGACTTACTGTGAATTAACAGCAATATTTTGGGGCTACAGTACCTGTATTTGACAGATAGATTTCAGCAACAGCTGTGCTTGTTCAGCTGACTTCTTTTCTTCTTTCTGTCTCATTATTTTGTATGACTTTCGGTGTTGAGACATAGATGACTTGCAAGACTTCCAAGCATAAGCATCTTAACGAAGAAAATATAGCATTATTTAATTTGAAAATATCTGAAAAAGGGCTAATGATAGAAAATATGTTTAATAAAATATTCTGCAAGTTTGATAAAAATACTCATGTAGTAATCTTTTAAGAGGATGTGCTGTATAAAGATACACTTTTTCACAGATTTGCTTGTGGAAATGAAGCAGCTCATTTAATCTTATGTTGACCAGCTTTTAATTATTCTTGTTTTCAATATTATATTCTAAGATATTCTCTGGGTTACCAATTTCAGAATGAAGATGACTGGAGCAGACGTCCACCATCCCTTCCTGTGAAAGGGATCAGATACTTACCTCTGCTGGATGATCTGTTTGGCAAGGAAGAATAAAGTGATCTGTGCAAGGCACTGCTTTTGGATTAGTGTTTCAGCTCCAAAGCTTACTTAGACAGATACTGAAAACATTCCTTGTAAAAAAAAAAAAATCAGATATGGGTTTTATTGCATTTAATTTCTTATTCCAACATAGATGCATATTTTGTGTATTTTTGTAACTCCTTCTAAATCAACTGTGCTCTTTCATACTTATGCAAGCATAATTAAAACTGTATCCTCTAATCTTTGTGTCTGGTTATATGGAGAATTTACAAGTATTGAGAAATCTTTGAGTTAAACAGAGCAAAATCTGACTGACCCTGGTTTGTTCTGCCAACACAAGAGGTTGTTGGATGACCTCTTAAAATACTAGGTCAGACTATATTAGCACAAAAAGGTTATTCCATTCAAATCTCTCTTGCTCTTTAGCTTATATCTGTGTTTTTGCTATATCCCTGTGGTGATGCTTAAGTACTGTTTGTGTCAAGGTTTATTTTATGGAGGAAACACTAGCAATGTTTTAAGCACAGTATAAAGTTGCTCTGGTATGAGAGATAATTATAACCTTCCAATACAGAACTAAATATTTTGCAGGCATGGCACAGAAGCTATCAGTTCTTGCTTTTTGTTTTAAATGTGACTCAGATTAGTAGCCACCCAAGTTTACTTGAGTGAGACATGTATGAAGAGAAGGTGTTTCGGTACAGTTCTAGTGTGCAGCTTTCTTGCAGTAGCACTGTACTTGCTCTTTAAAAATTAATTTATGTCTTTCTCTTTGCTCAAAATTGTGATGACTAAATGGAGTTCCTGCTAGTGTTTTTGTATCTTTTTAAGCTTATGCCAGCTCAAAGCCATGATTAGATTTGAATTTACTGCATGCTTTTGTGAGAGAAGCAATTAACCCAGTTTAAAGAATGGAAGAGCTGAGGTGGAGGGGGGAGTTGACTCATCCATGGCAGTTCCACAGGGGAAGGGGAAGAGGTGTGAGCCAGTGCACTTCTGCTGGTGGCTGGGAAACTCACATGTTCAGTAGACCAAGAATCCTGCTCTTTCTGAAATTACAATTTGGGAAGGAGGTGTTTGATTTAGAAGGATGAGAATTCAACGTATCTAAATCCCCAAACTGAGGGAAAGAACTATTGTTCAAAGAATAACTTAATTCAGTGAATCGGTATCTTTTTGGAAACTTGGAGATCCTTTTTAAAATTATGATTCCATTTAGAAATACCTTGCTGCACTTTTGCATGACAGTGCAAATGAAATTTTTAATTGTATATCTTCTCTTTAGTCCCCCCAGCTCCTGAGAAGAAATTCTTTTCCCTCCATATGGCAAACTGTGAAGCTTTTGGCAGGTTTTTACCTTTTTTGTCAGCAAAAAAGGACTTGAGGCAAGGCATAATGATGTGGGTTGCTGCTACTTAGGAAGATGTTTGCAATAAAATGGGTAAGTGATGGTCTGTGTCCAGGGGTCAAAAAGAAAACTGTGAAAACTTGTTCAAGTGCTCCAAGTTGTAGACAAGACCACGTACTCTTTGATCCAAAAGAGGAAAATGATTTCTTACATGACAAGAAAAATGTCTGACCACGATGATAGTGTCAGGAGCCAAAACAATAACTTGCGTTTGAAGCCAGTTTGATGAAAGCTGAAGATTTTTAAAACATGCCACCAAGACTGACCATGACACTTTAAATGAATGCAGTTGCTCTTGTAAATTTTTAATGCTCCCCAGACTTCAGAAGGATATGTTTCAGTTGTGGAAATCTGGTATAGTCAAGGGTTTCCAAGAAAGATTGACTCTGAACATTTACAACTTCCCAAGTAGCTTTTAGAGATAGGAAATTCACTTTAGTTTGTTTTCCTTTATGTGTATAGGACAAAGAGGAGCCTTTTTTCAGGAAAAAAAAAAATTAGTACAAGAAATATAATTTCTTACAATTTCCTGTGGAACCCTGTGTATGGGTCTGGTCAGTCATGGTCTGTTCTGGTCATGGTCAGGAAAGGTGACTGCAAACTGGAACCAGTGCAGAGAAGAACTAGGAAGGTGACCAAGAGAATGGAGGTAAGAAAGGAGACCTAAAGGAGCTTGGCTTATTTAGTGAAATAAAATAAAGTCTCAGAGAGGATATGACTGCTCTCTGTAAATACATTATGGCCAGGTGAGGAAAATAATCTATTTCAGTTAAAAACGTTGGTAGTCTAAGAACAAATAGGTATAATTTGCCACAAATAAATTTAAACTGAACAACAAAAGGTGGTTTCTCATTTCTAAAACAACAAGGGTCTCAAACAGCCTTCCAAGACTGAAGTACTCAGTTAGTTTTAAGGTTGAGATGGGTCACCTGATGATAGTAATTTTAGGACGTTTATTAATATCCTTCTGAATTATTATTCTCACTTCTCTTTCTCCTCTTTTCCCATGAATCTTGCATAACCCTGATGAGCACAAAAGCATCTATGAGGAGCCGAGCAGACAGGGCCTGAAAAATATTTTCAGTGCTTGTCACTGTGCTCACAGTGTGTCATATGCTGTGGTCTGATGTGTTATAAAACATTTCACCAGGTTTTCTTTTTTACAAGCAGCAGTGCTTCCAGAAGGGAAAGCCCTAGCCAATGAGCAGTCCAATAATACTCTTTGTGTAATGTGACTTACAGCATATGCTGCCCAGAATATTTCAACCTCTCCTCTAATCCTGCCACCGGCTTCTTCTCCCTTTTCACATTGCTGATGAGGAGCCTGAATGAAGACAATACCACAAGATTATATTTCAAGATGGCAGGAGGCCACAGCTTTAAAGCATGCATCGCATAAAGGGGAAGGCAGCCCTCGCAGTTGCCATTAATCTCAGCTCGATCTCTGTAGGGGAGCCAAAGATATCTTCTTTCCACAAGTATCTGTGCTGTCCATGGCAGGAGCAAAGAGCTTCACATTACAGTACCGACTCCCCATCTCACTGCTGGGGTCTGCTGCGTGTTCAGTGTTAATTTTTATTTCCTCAGCTCGGCATTTGAGAATAAGAGGCTTCAAGTTCTGTGGAATAGCTGCTGCTGCAAGCAAATGGCAGGCTGCAAACAGCAAAGAGGAGCAGTCCTTGTGTGCATGTGGTGCACTGGTTAGCTTGTGGCCTCGCATCAGCTTCTGCTCCTGTGCAGTTCGGGGTGCCTGCCGTGGGCACCAGCAGATGGGCCCCCTCAGACGTGGTAGCCACAAGCAGCCGTAGACAACCTGTGGACAACAATGAAGTTCCTCACCAGGCAATATTTTCCTGTGTCCTGCCCATCATACAGGCATCTACTGTAGTTTTCTAGGCAGAGCCATTTGTACCAACATCAGACAGGTGTTTGTCTACATAAATGAAAAGATGTTGAAGTCCTCCTTCTTCATTTGTCCCTCGTGCTGGTGCGAGTTGATCCTACTTCATGGCAGGAAAGCTCTTCACAGAAAAAGTTTGGGCTCAGTTGACTTCTATGTCTGTTCTCTCTGTCTTGTCCTTTTATTCCAGGAGACAATTCTGCCTCTCAAAGGAAAACTGCAGGGATCCTAATTCCACAAAAACCAAAATATTGGATGTTTTCAGTCATTTGACAGCATTCAGAGAACAGCAGTCCATATATCACTAACAGTAATCCACTGATCACTTTCTTGCTGGATCCATCTATGTGTTCCTGTGGTTTGAGACATGGAACTAATCATTCAAGAATTTTCTAGTTTTTAACATCTTGTAGTCATACGTAAGTTATTCAGTGACATGGAAGGAAACATTAGTTCTTTAAGCAATAATGTCCTGTACCCTCAGTAACTTACCCATTGCATATTTACTTGCAGCATTTCTTCCTCTTTGAGGTGGCTTAGCCAGCAAGTGCCAGTACAATGAAAAAGACAAAACGGCAGAAAGTTTGTGCAGAAGTTACAACATGAGGAGGAAAAAATACCACAATCTGAGCTCAGTCAGATTTTTAAAATTATTTCTAGGTTTTAGAAGACAGTATAGATAACATTTGAGAGAAAACTATCCTGAAAGAAGACTTTTTCAAGTTACTGTTTGCTCTGAATTTCTTCTTGTTGTTTGTTAGGGTGGTGACTCAGACCCAGTTAGAAGCAGCACTCATGTTTTAGGCAATGGTCAAACAAGCCAGGTAGGGGTGTGGTGGGAAGTCCATGTCCCTACCAGTTTCCAATGTAAAGTTTAAAACCAGTGAGGGAGCATAACACAGGCGAGGAAGGAAGTTAATATAGATACAATACATTAAGGTTATAGATAGATTATATAAACTCTTTCTCTGCACAGTTGGTCATTTCTGAATCATCTGGAAGTTTCTTCTGGTATGTATTACACACAAATAAACTAGCTATCCTCATCTGCCCTTCACCCTAGCCATTTGTCCTCTTTGCTCTCCTCTTTCGTGAGGCTAGTTTCATATTAAAAACTACGAACAAAGAGAAGTAAAGGAGCTGATTCACTAACTTCTCCGAAATCTGATGCAGATCCTTGGCAAGCAGCATGGTTGGATGATCTGTAAATGCAAAAATTCATTGTATCACCTAACAGTTCTTGAGAGAGCTCCCACTTTCAAAGGCAAATCTGTCAGAAGAATGGCATTGTCTTGAAAGACGAGAGGAAGATCTTTTGCAGAGCTGCTGTGGCGCAGGTGGGATGCAGCCTCCTCTAAATTACCATGAGGTTTTATGGGTGAGACTTATGTCCCTTGCCTTCAGGTGTCTACTGCAGATGTCTGCACCTGCACTAGCTCTCTGGATCCCTTACTTGCGGATGGAAGGGCGATGGGCACCTCTAGGGAGCGACTAGCCTGCAGGAATATCTACGGGAGGCCTGTTACCCACACACTGCCCCTCCCTCTGCACTGACTGTGAAGGGATTTAAAACCACCAGCTAAATGTAGACGTTTGCACTGCTGTCAGGTGAGATGAATCCCACCCTTGGGGTCCATCAGCATTTCTAGAGGAGCACTGAGGTCGAGCATGGTGACCACTTGGCTGCTCCCCACCCTTGCTGCC